TCTTTCTTTCTATCTTTCTTTCTCTTTCTCTCTCTCTTTTTCTTTCTTTCTTTCTCTTTCTTTCTTTCTCTCTTTCTTTCTTTCTTTTCTTTCCTTCCTTCCTTTCTTTCTTTTCTTTCTTTTTCTCTCTCCCTCTCTCTCTCTCTTCCCCCATCCCTCCCATTCTTCCTTCTTGTTTCTTCCAGAGCACTTCTCCCACAGAAATACCTAGATCCCAGTATTCCTGATAAGAACAGTCTATTTATTTCAGTGACAGTTCTCTGCTAGAAGGACTTCAGAACAGCAGTGTCAGTTTTACACATATGGGTTTAATATTTATTGTGTTGTTCCAAGGTGAACAATTTTTGGCTTTGATTGTCTTCGTAATAATTAATGCCCTCGTGCAGGGGCTAAAAAACCAAGTCGGAAATTAATTGCATGTATAAAATATATCAACAGGAGCTTAAAATTAATTAGGCTAACTACAAGCATATAGAGAAATAATAACTCAATAGTTAAAAATATGCATAATTATTAAGCAATTGCATTTATATCTTCAGAAATGCAAAGTATAACCTAAGGCTTTAACTTATTAGTCTTTGGTGCAATCATCATTAACATTTTCTTTTGCATTTTTATGAGTAATAAGGCAATGAATATAAAAGAGAAGGATCGAAATGGCAATCCCTATTAATCCATATGGCACACAGAAATCCCTTACAAAGAACGGGTGTGAAACCATTCCCAAACTAATTATCCTTATCCACGGGACCTTTAGAACCCAATGATTTGTAGGAATGTTGGGCTGGAGCTCTGAGCTAAGTGTAGTTATTGCTTAAAGAACATTATTTTATCAGTATGGCAAAAAAGCCACCACTGAGTAATTTTTATGACTTTCCATGAAGGTGTCAAGACCTGTCACCATGTGGTTTATGTGGGGGATGTTCAGGGATTGCAGAAGTGTTTGTATTTCCCATGTCCAGAGAAGGGAACGGAGCTGGGGAAGGGTCTGGAGCACCAGGAGCAGCTGAGGGAGCTGGGGGGGCTCAACCTGGAGAAAAGGAGGCTCAGGGGGAACCTTTTCACTCTCTGCAACTCCCTGACAGGAGGGTGGAGCCAGGTGGGAGTTGGGCTCTGCTCTCAGAGGACAAGGGACAGGACAAGAGGAAATGTCCTCAAGCTGTGCCATGGGTGGTTCAAGTTGGACATCAGGAGGAATTTCTTCCTGGAAAGGGTGGTCAGGCATTAGAAGGGGCTGCCCAGGGAGGTGGTGGAGTCCCCATCCCTGGAGGTGTCCAAGGAACGACTGGACGTGGCACTCAGTGCTGTGGGCTGGGTGACAAGGTGGGGATCAGGCGCAGGTTGGACTCAATTGTATGGGAGGGCTTTTCCAACCAGCACCTCAATGTCTCTCTTTGTGCTGAAAATCTCCTGGAACAGGGACTCTGTCTTAGGTTCATTTATTTTTCCTGTGGGAAGAGGAGCCCACATTTCAGAGGCCTGTTCTGCCTGATCTTAGGTCACCTCCACCTTCACACTTCCCCAGCTCCGTTCCCTTCCCTGGACATGCTCCAGCCCCTCAGTGTCTTTCTTGTCATGAGGGGTCCAGAACTGTATGTGGGAGTTGAGGTGAGTCCTCAGCAGTGCCCAATACAGAGGGAAAATCATTTCCCTAAATCCTTCTGGTCATACTATTTTTGACACAGGCCAGGTGCCATTGGCCTTTTTGGCCACCTGAGCACACCTAGACCTATGTTCATCTCTTCATCCTCCATGTGCTGAGACTCTGTAGGTGAGGACACCATGTTCAGGCCTCCTTTGAGATGGAGACTGACCTGTCTGAAAGTACCTGAGATTGTAAAGAAAACTGCAAAGTGCTGGTTGGTGTGAGGAACTGAAATAGCATTTTCTGCCCAATAGGGTTTGTAGGGATGATACAATCAGATTTCATGGGAGCACCTTTGTGTTTCCCTGTAATATCCTTCATGACTTTGTATTTTGAGATTAGAAACAATTTCTGCTATTGGGAGAAATGCCAAAGCAAAACCGTTCTGTCAAAGGGCTGGGCTTCCTTTAACATTGTGAATAAAGCTCAGCACAGACCCAGAGCAGCACAGGAAATCACAGCAGAAAAGGACCACTTGAGAAGAGAGTCTCAGTCCCTTCACACCACTCTACCCTCTAGGCTGTGTTCTATGTTCTGTGGAGGAACAGTGGAAGAAGATGTTCTCCTGCTGGAAACAGTGGAGCTGGAGGAGCCAGGGGGATGTGTGTCACACATTTGTGTCACAAGTGAGATGAGGAAAGGCTTATGTCAGATCATAAGCTCCCAAATAGTTTCAGACTCCACACAGGAAAATGATTTGCTGTGAAGCTCCACGTTAGAAGCTGTGCAAACCCAACTCCCTCTTTTTTCCTTTGACTTGATGTATGCGTCAGTCTTTCTACACACACGGAGCCAGGAGCTGTCATGTTGAATATCCTCTTCTCTGCTTTTTGGGCTGACAATTTCATATTCATGGAAGTAAATAAATACATTTTAATAGTTTAAAGATGCCTTAATTTCTGTGAGTAAGACACAGACAAGCACCATGATCAGTGAACAAGGGAAGCAGCAGCCTCTCCATTGCTGTCCCATCCAAGACCCGGGGGACTTGGCCACTTCCCATCAGGAACATCTGGCAGAGCTGGAGGTTGAGTTTCAATCTCCCAAATCCCTCCTCAAATCCTTGTGCCAAACCCAGCACAACACCTTAAGGAGACCACTGGGTCAGGTCTTGATCACTGTTTCTTGTTACGTTATTCCTTTTTGTACCAAGGAAATCAATGAAGATGATAGTTAATAAAAAAGAAAACAGAATATGTGTCTTTAGCCCACGTTTACATCTGGGAAAGAAAAACCACATGAAAGAGAGTAACATCATCCAGTTAACTTTATTTCAGTGACCTTATTAAAAAGAAGTGAGAATTATGAAGTAATTAATTGAAAGTTTAGATGATAGGAGCTTGTAATCAACACAGTCTACCTCAGTGGCAGATGCTTGAGCTGCAAAGTCATGAGCTTCAGATGATTTAAACATCAGCTGTTCGTTACAGTAAAAGAGAAAAATGAAATCCCACACTCTTTTGCTCATAATTTTTCTCCAATATTAATTGGAGAATTAATTGGAAAAATATTAAGACATGTTTACCACTGTGCTTGAGAACGAATTGATGCCCAGGGCAGAGCAAGGGGTCCCAGCCCCAGGGCCCCTTTCTCCCCAGGGCAGGATATGGTGAGGATGCTCTTGGACTGTGGGGGCAAAGGGCAGGTCAGGAGTTGTGTTTGGGACTCCAGGGACACAGAGACCACAGTAGGGTGTCAGAGGGACCTCAGTCACTGAGGGAGGGCTGCCAGGATGATGAGGAGAATAAAGAACCCCTCTGAAAGAGATTGTTCTCTTGAATGCAGTGAAATGAGGGCTTGGGGAGGATTTTGTTCTACTTTAATAATGCACTTGCGTGGATCCCAGGGAGGAAGAACAAACACCAGCTTAGGGAGCACTTCTACAAGACTGTCACAGAATCCCAGACTGGTTTGGGTTGGAAGGGACCTTAAGGATCATCCTGTTCCACCTGCTGCCATGGGCAAACTGTCAACACTGGTGTGTCGGTGACACAAAAACTTCCTCCCATCAGTTACTTGCTGTCTTAGTTTTTATTTTAATCCAGCCCATGCTGGACACGTGGGACACCTCTGGGGACAGACCCTGTGCCTGTGAGACCTGGCTCTCACTCCTGTCCTGCCCTCCCTGCATTGTCTCGTTTCTGTACAAGATCAGCACTCGACTCATGCCTGTGAAGAGTTCAGTTATCTGAGGAAATGCCATTTGTAGATTCAGTCAGAAACCACAACCTCGGGATTTTATTTAAACACGTTCCCAAAGTAATACTCAAGGCCCTTTTTCTGTTTAATAAACCCCCTTAATGTCCCCTAAATATTAATGTATTGATTTAGTCTTTGCAATGTTTGCAAAGTCTAATTTGTTTCCTCAGCCAGGCCAAGAGGGACTTGCATTTGGAGCTAACGAGATAAATCTTCCCCAAATTTATTTAAAGTGGGACAAAATAAATATGCAAAAGACTTCTAAAATCATCTAACAACCAGTTTCCAGCTAAAAGTGACAATCTATTACTCTTTTAAATCGTTGGCACTCAAGTAGGGTGTCAGTTCTTTATAAAATTAACTTGCTGGTGCCAGCCACTGTTATCATCTTGTCCCTGCTCAGCACAGAAAGAAAAAGACTTGGAAAAATAATTCTAGACGGGGAGGCAGCCATGGGAGGTTTGCTCCCTGGGAGAGGCCCCCAGAGAACCACCCTCTCCAACAAGGAGCATCCTTGAAGCTGCCATTCCCCAAGGCTGCACCCACAGTCATTAATGCGTCATTAATGACTGATCCCAATGTTTGCTCCAGGATTTGTAGTTTTTATCCATTCATTAAATTCCTCCCACA